CATCTGCCCGCGAGGGACGTCTGCCAGGTCAAATCAACGCTTAAAGGCTGGCTTAAGAAGAGAGCCCTGTGGTATCGAAAATAACGATTTTTCATCCGTTCTGGGGTGGAATCAGGACATGATTCCTGGATATTCATGTGTTTAAATGTTTAAAGTTAGTTTTCTCCCCTTAGCCTCGTGAAGTTCTCCAAGCCAATTCCACCCTTCTCACCCTAGGGGGTGCTCCTCTTCTGTGATCAAACGACGACACCCTCAGTGTCAAAGCTCCCTTTCAAGGATGAAAAGAATGTCTGCAGAAGCCGACATGGGTTTCCAGATGCACCCCTCCCTTCAAGCTCAGGTTCCTTAGTTGCATCCAAACACTTAACATCAAACATCTAATAACTAACCACTATCCTTCAAACCTGCTGCTTATCATGTTGGTTCCTCACTGCTGTTCAAAAGCACTCAGGATCTTTCTGACCCCTTGCCTCCCAACTAATTACCTTTCGGCCTTTCGATTTAATTTGGACCAACGGGGCAAACGATAGATCTACGGGGGATTCATCGAACAAATGGTCGAGATGAACGGTGATGAACAGTGAGTTGTCAGAGTTAATAGATTGGGCGCTCGAGATGGTCGTGACCGTTCTTCTCAGCCATGGGTCGAAGGGGAAAACAAACAAGATCAAACAAGTATCCACCAGTATTGGGTATGATTCGCTTTAGTAGTTTCAGTGGAGGATACGGGTCAGTATAACATGCTTCTCCCAGACATATTGTCTTTGACTGACCGTTGCTGAAATATTTATTATCTTTTGACCGACGGTTATTGGTGGTCCTAGTTCTTGCTTTTTGTTCCGCATTCCTTGGATGTCACACGGATTCCGGCCCGTCTCGACCCATCCCCCCACGCCGCAACAGCAACTCGCCCGTGCGCACCACAAGACCATGAGGGCCAGCAACACGGAAGCGAGGATCCACGACAGCATGGAAGAGTTTGCGCCTCAGTTTCGAAACATATGGCGCCTGTGATCCCCAAAGAGTATGTGTGGCACGGTTTTTCCAGGGATTTTGACATGTTCTATCTATTCTTGGGGGTCAAGATCTGTCTATATCACACTACACCGTTACACCGCACATACCAACCCAAGCTTTACCACGCAATGCTACCGATGTGATCCGATGTGCTCCACGGACCGTTCCAAGGAAGGGAACGAATGCAAGCGGTAGCACCGGAAGACTCGGGATAAACGGTATAGATCGCCTCATGAAAGCTCCTCCCTTTCCAAGGACCTCATGAAAGTCTGATAGAAGTAAAAGACATAACATCTTAAATATACATGACCATCCAAGACCAAACGACCTCGATGGCTGCAGACTGAATCTAAAATTCCTCGGATTGCTCTGATTACCTGGTGGCGATTCATGGCTGATTCTGCAGTGTTCAGTGTCAGCAGGACTTGTGGACAGCGCTAACTCAAAACTCCACAAAGACAATGGCCAGGATCCGGAGAACAGCATGAGCGCCCCTAAGAATAGGGACCCTTGCGCTTACGTGTTTTGAGTTGCTCAGACTTGAGACTCATCGAGAAAAGGAGTTCTCCAATGTGTTGAGCCCGATCACGCCGATCAAGGAAATTGTAAGCTGCCTGGCCTGACCCTACAAGTACTGAAGTACCAGCTGCAACGTTGCAACCCTCCAGTATGCGGAAGAAGCGGCTAGAGATCCAATAGATCGCCAACACGCTGGCTGTCGACAGGACCAGGTCGAGGAAAATCCTCATGTCGCACTCTGGAGAAGGACGAGGACGATCACGTGAAAAAACTTTGTCGAGAACACTCCTCAACCCCACTCCTTCTGGCGTTGCAAGCAAATCTTATTGGTACGGCTTCAATCCGCTTCACAACTCTGACACTTCAAGTAGACAAACTGTCCAGGACAACATCAAACCCATGATCTAAAAACCATGCCTGTGAATGCTGACAAAACTTTCGCTTCACTACCCCCAAAAAAATCTATCTCCCCAAATCAACATAGTTGAATTATGTCTTATAGTTGCTTGATTTCCAAATCACCAAAATCCTTGTCCCAAATCCTTCCCAAGAGAGGTTGAATGACCTTGTAGGACCCTGCTAGGGTACCTATGGGATAGTCTATAGGATCCCTCAACCTCTGTTGGTCCCCCATCACTGTCACCGCTGGTCCAAGTCTCTGCAGCCCAGTCTTCGCCCGCATCCGCCAGCCCTCCCTCGACGGCATCGATGCGTCGTCGGCTGAGGGGTCAGCATCCTCAAGAGCCTCCAGCGCCTCGTTGTCGTGGTCACGGAGCGGATCGCGCATGGCCGGCATCAAGTACATCGGGACCAGCGAGAAACAGGTGCTGCGTATTTTCTGCTGAAAGCGTGAGCAGTTCTGTCTGCCTGATGTTGTGACTGTGTTGGGAGGTGTGCCTTTTGGGGGCAAGTGGCCAAGGCAAAAGTCTGGATCATATTTCTTGGCGGCAACGGGAAGATGCACTGGTTGGCATTCGTTGGCGTACAAACCCTTCCTGAGTTTGTGGGCAAAGCATGGCAAAGCAAGTGAATCAAAGTATTTGGCCGCCAGTTCGGCAAACAGTTCTTGCACCAAATCAACAAAGCCTCACTCACCGTTCACCTGTGGTTTTTCCCCAAAACCTGCCAGTTCACGCTTCCATGAGCACCCTGCCCTAATTAGCCTGACCACGGTGAGTGCTACAGTTCCGGGGTGACTTCACTCTGTTCGGATGTTGCGTGGGCTTGGATGCCCCCACCCCAGACATCGACTCTTCTGAACCCGAAGGTCGCGGCGGCGGTCCGGTCTGCCGTGCCCCGTGATGGTGTCATGGTGCGGTTGAAAAGGGAGGTGGGTATCTGCTACCGTGGAATTACTTTACTTCGAGTGATCCCAGCCATGACATTCCAAAACAGCCACATACATTGACATCACCCTCGTTGTGTATTTCAGCCCATAGCACAAATCCTTCAGCGCCAAGTCTTACTGTTTTGTCCGAAGCGAATGCTTTCATCAGGAGACCTGTGCACAACTACAACTCAGATCATTTCAGTAGTAGTCCTACTGGGCGGCCTAAAACAGGGAAACTTCCGGGGCCCGAGTAGTAGTAGTAGTAGTAGTAGTAGTAGTGGTAGTAGTGGTAGTAGTAGTGGTAGTAGTAGTCGTAGTAGTAGTCGTAGTCGTAGTCGTAGTAGTAGTGGTGGTAGTAGTAGTAGTGGTGGTAGTAGTAGTAGTAGTAATAGTCATAGTAATCGTAATAGTAGTAGTAGTAGTAGTAGTAGTAGTCGTAGTCGTAGTCGTAGTGGTAGTGGTAGTGGTAGTGGTTGTGGTTGTGTGTTTGCGGTTGTGTTTGTGGTTGTGTGTCTGTGGTGGCGTTTGTGATTGTGTTTGTAGTTGTGTGCTTGTCATTGCGTGTTTGTGTTTGTGGCCGTGGTTGTGTTTGTGGTTGTGTGTTTGTGATTGTGTTTGTGGTTGTGTGTTTGTGGATGCGTTTGTGATTGTGTCTGTGGTTGTGCTTGTGGTTGCGTCTTTGTCGTTGTGGCTGTGGTTGTGTGCTTGTCATTGTGTGTTTGTGATTGTGGCTGAGGTTGTGTGTTTGTGGTTGTGTGTTTGTTGTTGTGTGTTTGTGGCTGTGTGTTTGTGGCTGTGTTTGTGGTTTTGTGTTTGTGGTAGTGTTTGTGGTTGTGTTTGTGGTTGTGTGTTTGTGGTTGTGTGTTTGTGGTTGTGTGTTTGTG